ACATGAGTCTGACCAAATTGCAGGAGGCAGTGGAAGACAGGAGTGCCTGGCATGCTCTGGTCCATGGGGTCACGAAGAGTTGGGCACGAGTGAACGACTAAACAACAACAAGCTAATTAAGAACCACTGCTCTAGGAAAACAGCTTGTTTTCCTTTTGTTAATAAAACTAAAATAAGCAGAGAATGAAAAACTCCTTCCGACAGTGTTAAGAACACAATATAAGAACATAAGGAGAACCTGCTGGTTCAGGCAAGTGGCCCATGTAGTTCAGTATCATGTTCTCACAGGGACCACCCAGATGTCTGTGGGAAACCTGTAAGGGGGACCTGAGCACAACAGCACCCTCCTCTCTTGCAGTTCCACCAACTAAAAACATGCTGCTTCCAACTATGGAGGCACAGCCGTCATGGCGAGTGGCCAATGATAACAAGCTTGCACAATTTAAGAATCAATGTGAAAGTAGGACAAATTGTTGTCTCCTACACCTTCTAGAAACCCAAAGCAGCTGGAATCAGGAGGTTTTCCAACATGGTGTGATGGCTATATTTATGTCTTTTCTTGAACTTGGTGGTGAATTATTATTTTTTAAATCAAAATAGAGAGAGGCATTCAGACAATCCAAAACTGGGTCACAAAACTAAGGGTTTGATGACGACTGATGAGAACCAGGGATTCCAAATCTTGCACGAGGAATATGTTGGACCAGATTGTACGGTTTGTGTAATTATGATGGTGATGATATATTACTTTCTGGTTCAATATGATTTATTTTCAGTTGGATTAATGGTTACAGTGGATGAGACCCACATGGCAGAGGAGTGGTTCAGAACATAAGAAGAGTCCTGCTGGATCAGACCGAAGGCTTATCTAGTCTAGCATTCTGTTATCATAGTAGCTAAGCAGATGCCTACAGGAAGCCCATGAGCACAATTGTGTTTTCCAGTAATTGTTATTCAAAGGCTCATGCTCCCCAATAACTGGATGCAAATGTCAGAGATTATAAACTCAGAATTAAACATTGTTCTTTGCTCAGTCTGAGATTAGAGCTCATTTCAGCATATATTCGGGACCATTCTGAGGACTATGTATTTTATAAATAGTTCTATGTCATGTCTAAATAGTTAACCTTTGAATGCCTAGGTCATCTGAGCAGACTTTAAGGTGAGATTTGAACGTGCTAAATTAAATCTGAGACCTATAATATACCCCACAGAGTACAGATAATTAACCTTAGCAATATACTGGACACACTAAACAGCACAAGCTTATTGATTCAACTACCCTGGAGGGTATCAAAAGCTTTTAGTTAATCAGGGGTTTCAAAGAAGATAAGCATCGTTTCCATAAGGTTACCCTGACATGAAATCCCACTGCTTTCAAAAGAATTCATTTTCAAACTAAAACTATGGTATTTAGAATCACAGCACAAAACATTTAATGGTAAATTTCACTGTTTTAACGTTTTTGCTGTTTGCTGCCCTAGGCTCCTTTGGAAGGGGTGGATACAAATTTAATAAATGATAACAGTAATAAAAAATAAAAGTCAGAAATGGAGGTCAGAATGGAGTAAACATTTGATGTAATGGCACAGGTGACGTTAGGTCTGGTAACCACCCTGGAAACGGCAATTAGACAGGCATATTATACATTTGGGGTAAGTAGGTGTGTAGAGCTATACTTGCTTAATTGTATTGTGGGTCAGTATGATCCAATTCATGTTCTACTCAGAAGAGTTCAGTAGGATTTATTTCCAAGCCAATCATTCACAGGTTTCCAACCTTAGCATGGCATTATTGTGGCATAGCCTTTCCAGTTCTGGTGTAATGGGCAAAGTGATAGACTCAGCAAGGAGTTGCTGGTTCAAATCATTGCTGAGCCACAAAGCTGGCTAGCCGGCTGCAGCCTAGTCTACCTCAACAGGGTTGTTGTGAGGATCAAATGGGAAAGCCTATTCTTCAAATTGAATATCAAATAATTTTTTTAACAGATGCCTTTAAATAGACTGAAGCAGTTTTGTCTTTAATTTACAGCCACAGTGCAATCCATAGGCATGGAGTGTTATCAGCTGGATTTTCATTTTAAAATAACCCTTCTGAGACCCCTGGACTGATCTGCGCCAACAAGCGGATGTTTTAATGGCCTCAGCAGGCTAGTAATTTCTTTTCAGTCTAGCAATTTTTGCAATGGTAGCTAGAGGGGCCATGGAAAATTTGCATAGCCCAAGCCTCTCTGTCATCAAAGCAGATAAGCGCTCAAGACAAGAAGAGAGGAGGGGAAAGACAGTGGAATTAGAAACAATAATAATAGACAAAGGAGGTTTAATGGAAGGAGTGGTAGGTAACAACTTCAGGTCTTTGCCACAAGTAGCTAGTACAGCACAAACCTCATTCTTGAATCATCAGGAGGAGTCATTTCCAGATCATGAGTAGGCCCATTCAAACCAATGACATGTAAGGAAATGCTTGGATTTTCTGTTCCAACCTAGAAGACAAAAGAAGACAGAATGATAAAAAAGTGTTTAATAAATGACTTATTCTGTTTATAAGTAAGAAGGTATAAATGAGGATTTTAGTGCTGGACTTGGCAAACTTCAGAACCGGACTAAGGATTAGAAAAACAGAGCGAATGCAGATGTAGCTCAGAAATGTCATGCTACCTATAGCTCTGAAATTGTTCCCCAGCGATTATTATATTTTTAAAATACAAAGCCATTATGGTTGCTTCAGAAGGGAAAAATCCCCATGCAAAGTAGCCAGAGTGAAAAAAACAGTTGACAAATAAAAGGTGCAACAGCCCTCTCACCACCCCAGCCCCTCTGCCTCTTCTGCTCAACTGGAAGCCACAGAATGGCTTTGCAGGGAAAACAATCTACGAACTTGCAATTGGATCTCGAGGTGATTAGGGCGGTGGTTAAAGCCATGTATTTAATCACTAGGCAAGTGGTCATTGGTGAGCAGGAATGAGGGGCTGGTGAGGGCATGGAATCCCATGCAAGAAGTGAGCAGGCATATAAAGAGGGGATGGAATGCATAGAAACAAAGGTCACATTTGCACCACACATTTAAAGCACATTAAATGCACATTTAATCCTGGGAACTGTAGCTCTGGAGGCTACCGTAGCTGTCGCACTGTAAGCTATAGTTCCCAGGCTTCTTTGAGGAGAGCCATGTACCACAAATATGGGGTGTGGATATGAGCTCAACACAGAAATATAGTGCTTTAACTTTTCTCCAGCAGCCCTCAGCAGGCTAGTAATTTCTTTTCAGTCTAGTAATTTTTGAAGACTTGCTTACTAGGATGAATTAAAGTATTCTGTGTAAAGCTAATGGGCTTTTCTGGTTACGTTGCTACATGTTCTTGTATTTTAACCAGGTGGAAGTAAAAAGATACAGGTGTTAAAGAGATCAAATCCATCCTACCTTTGGGTAATGATAAGTCTCCACTTTAGGGTAGAGGCTGCCTGTGAACATAGGTATTTCCATAGTGGGGACTCTGGAGTCATTGATAGTTGCATACGCTAATCTTGTGCCGTCGGGGGACCACCAGTGTGCAATATGGGTCTTCAGGATCTCCTCTATGTAAATAAAAAGAAGAAGGAAAGACGATCGTGAGATCCAAAAAATTTGTTAGCGTGGGAACTTCAGGGTGGAGAGCTCTATGTGCACCACATCACAGGGAAGAAAATTATTTTGGAAGAGGTTGTTTCTAAGGCTGTGATCCAATGGTCACTTATGTGAGAGTAAGCGCCAATGAACATAGTAGAAGTAAATATTAGGGCTGTGCACTGGATCCAGATGAATCCTGACTCAGTTAGGCCTGGGATTTGGCCAAATTGGGTTGAGGTTGCCCCAGATCATTGTGGGAAGGATTGGGTCCACCTGAAGGAAGGGGGAGCCTGGCAGTAAGAAGAAGGCACAGAGGGAGACTCGTAGGAAGTCTGCATGCATCTCCTTCTCCCCCCATCACAACTGCATGTTTAAACATTAATATTAGGGTTTAAAATCCCATGTGGTGGGTAGGGAGAAAAGGAGAGGCACATCTTCTCTGGGTCCCTATATCAGATGGGGGGGCCTCATGCAAAACCCTACTAAATAAGCAAGTTTGATATAATCAGTCCTCCATCCTGGGATAATGCCTACGTAGTGTTAGCTTCTATTCTGCAAGAAAAACATTGGGCACGGAATATTTCATTGGCTCATTTTCATTTCATTCTTTGAATTTCTCTTTTAATTCCTTTTTTTTGAAGCTTTTTATAATCAGGCACGGCTCAGCAATTAAATGCCTGATAGGAATACAACGAGAGGGTTGGCAAGTCCTTGACACTTCAGCATTAATCAGGAATTACTTTATTCTGCAAACATCTTTCTCAGATCTCTCAAGCTTAATGAAGCACTTCAAGAGATCCCAATGCAGGCTTTCTGGAGGACATTTTCACATGAGAATTTTACTGCTTAGATTTTTGTGGACACTGAAGCATGGTGGATCTTTATGAAAAGGGGACCCCTCGCATGAGCAATTCCAGACGAGTCATGTCACCCTGCAAAAATTACAAACATAAAAAGGACCTGCCAAAATAGCAACATCGTGGAAGCATCTTTGTGACTGTACATATGTATGATCAGGACCGAACCAATATATTTCAGCACCTTAGGCAAACCACAAAATGGCAGCCTCCCCCTCCCCACCAGGGAAGAAAGGGTGAGTGGAGATCTACATAAGGAACAAGGAGGGGACTAAAGAGCTACATCAGGATCTGCTGCCGCTGTGGATCCCGCCGCCCAAGGCGACTGCCTCACCTTGCCTCATGGGTGTGCCGGCCCTGTGTATGATAACTTTGCAGGCAACAGCCTGCTTAATCAAATGCATGCTCAGAAAATTGTGAATGGGTATGTGTGTCTGCAGTACAGTGCAATATAAATCAAGTTAATAAGACCATGGGAACAGCCACTTGCCCATTTTGCAGTACTGTATTCAGAATGGCCATATAATTTTACAGCAGGGAAGGACTGTAGCTCAATGGTGGAGCATCTGCTTTGCGTGCAGAAGGCCTCAGGTACAATCCCCAGCATCTCCAGGTGAGTCAGAACATTGGCCCATCTACTCTATTTTCCAGGTAATGGGATGGAGGACTAGATCTGCGACCTTGTGAATTCAAAGCATCACCTGTGGACTGTGCACATGGTGCAGCACAGACCTAGATGCTATGCTGGTTTCAGTGGGAGACATGTATGGAGAACTAGAATGTGACTTCTTTCTTTCTACTGCATGGCAGACCCACATAGAGTGATTTGCAATGATCCAGTCTTGAAGTTACCAGAGCACGGCGTACAGTGGCTATGTCAGCTCTGTACTAAAGGAGCAGGAACAGGAGAAGCAACTGGAACCGGATATAGGCATGTCTACTCACTACTGAACCTTTGTTAATAATGCTAGATCCAGGCCTGCTCTTACCAGGAGAGCACAACTTTGTCCAAAGCAAGTTGCCTGCCAGCCTCTTAAACCCAAGAGCTCAGAGCACACAACAGCTCTGTCTTGTACAAACTCATTTCTTTTTATTCTGTCACCGCCTGCCTTCAAAAGTCCTACCTGCTTTGATGACTTACCAGCCGAATGGCACATTCTGAGCTTCGCTACCAATTTACAGACAGCCTAGCCCTTTTGTTAGTATTTTCCAGCTATTTGTCTCCCTCAGAACACAGTGCAAAAACTTTATGCAGAATGCCCTATGAAACAAACCTGCAGCACAAAGATAAACTCCAAGGCACTCACAACATTCAATGAAGCAAAGGAAAACGCATTTCAGCTAAGATAAAGGTTGCAGATGGATCCTATCATTCAACCTGTAGGCTTGCATTTATAAGGAGGACATACTTTTCCTGTAAAGAAAAAGCAAGCAAGCAATTAGCTTTTGAGACATCAAGGACATGCCTCTGAAGAACAGGGGAAATTGCAAAGTGACTGCCGAGAGTAAGAATAAGGAGACTGTGCTCCACACCTTCAGGAAGTGGGGAAAGTTCAGGCTCATCCCTATAGTGTTTCATTTCTATTGAATGAAAGAAAGAGTACTGAAGATGGATGGTGCTTTTGTAATATCTGCTCTACCTACGAACGTGTCAGCAGAGGGCAGTGCAAGAAATAAAAGGCAGGCAGGAAACCACAGGGCTGCATCAGACTACAAAACAGCAGGTTGGACTCCAGCAGGCAGGCATCTTCCAGGCTGCTTCCAGTCCAGCTAACTCCAGCTTAAACCCTCTCAGCACTCTCTGCCTCTGTCGGTGTCCAAATTAAAAACTGGAACAACTACTAGCTGTCTATCACATTCACAAGGCTAGTGAGAAAGAGACCAGGAGACTAACGACAACGTTGCACCCAAAATCATTTAGTTACAGGTCCATTTATATTAATGGAGAAAGCCGAACTCATAACATCGTACTTGAGTCCTGAAACACCTTTCCTGTTTGTGTCACTCTACCATAGGTCCTATACAAAAAACACAGCCCACAAGCAACTTTGCAGTGTCTGGGCATGTCAGGCTATTGGCATGTCACACTGGTCCACATTTATTTTGCATGTGATCATTCATATGTTATATGTTTATATCAAACCGAATTTTAAAAACCCAAGCAAACAGAAATGTTTTACATATTTAAAAATGTATTTTATCACAAGTAGCATATTTAAAATATACATGTTAGCTTCATGCACACATTTATCCTAGCAAAGAAATTTCACAATGCATTTTGGCACATCTTTGAGTCAAGTTCTGCATTCTAAAATCCAGAAGAAATCTGAAGGATGATTACATTCTAAGGAAGATATTATTCCAGGAAATGCGAATTCACTTAAAACTGGAGATAGAATTACATTCTTCTCCAACCCTAGTCTGCATCGCTCTCTGTTCTGCCCTGTGTTTGTCTCACGCAGCGCTGTTTCCATTTGGCTGCAACTTGTCTACTGCCCCAAAACTACATTATTTGTCTCATTGTTTGCTGCGGCAAAATTACGTAACTTATGTAATTAATTACATACATTACATTGCCATTACATTTCCCTCCATTCACTTCAGTGCAAATGGAATAAAACGTAATCAATTAAGTATCATTTGCATACTGAAAACAACAACAACAACAACAACAACAACAACAGGAAGAGCAAATACTGATTGTATTGACTTCCATTTTGGATAGAGGACAAATAAGCAAATGTCAGCAATTTCTGCTCCTGTGTTCTTTGGAATCCTCCAACATCCCTAGCTGAAGAAGGTTTTGTTGTACTGCCACAGAACCAGGCAGGACTGCTTGAGAGGGACCAGTGACTCTAGTATCTGGTTGCTTGTATTTGGTTGCCTAGCACCAAAATGCCTTAAGGCGAGCTCAGAGCTTGACCATTTCATTAAATCTCCAAGAATGCAAGGCAATAGAATCCATACAGGCAGCTCCCCAGGGATTCCTATAGTGAAACCACTTTGTGTTGAGTACAGGATGAAATTCCAATTTTTATTGGCAAGTCCAGTTGATTTCAATTTGTTGCTGTTACAGCAAAATTAGCTATCCTTCCACATCAACACTGTTATTGGAGGGCGTGAGCTTCTCTCATTACTATTGCTACTACATGCCAACTAATCGAACAAAGTGTTGATGTTTGCCTGGCTCAGTTATGTCGTGAGAGGAGTGAAACAGAGAAGGATCATTCCTCACCACTCAAGACTAAAAGTCAGGACAAAAACTCTGCAGATTCTACTGAAAATATCCTTATATACAAATGCAGCAACAAAATAAAAACAACTTCTGAAGAAAATGAGAACATGGAGGTGAATGCAACTTAGCTGCCAAAGAGCACTTTCAGTTGCCAGCTATTACAATAAGCCAGCTTCTAAACAACATAATAGTGTACAATATTCATTATAAGATGGAGAAAAAGGGCATAGCAGGCTACTGCAAATAAATACAGTAAACAGCCTGTTAGGAACAATACTCTCAGTTGCCAAACATGTAGTGGCACATCTTTAATGGCAAAGTAACTGCTTCAGAGTAGAGCCAGGGTTCCAGGATTGTTCACATAACAACAAAAAACAATTTTATTATCTGTACCCTGCCCATCTGACCGGGCTGCCCCAATCACTCTGGGCAGCTTCCAACAGAAAACATCAAACATTTAAAATTCCCCTACACAGGGCTGCCTTCAGATGTTTTCTAAAAGTTGTATACAGTGGTACCTTGGGTTACATACGCTTCAGGTTTCATACGCTTCAGGTTACAGACTCCGCTAACCCAGAAATAGTACCTCGGGTTAAGAACTTTGCTTCAGGATGAGAACAGAAATTGCATGGTGGCAGTGCGGCGGCAGCGGGAGGCCCCATTAGCTAAAGTGGTGCTTCAGGTTAAGAACAGTTTCAGGTTAAGAATGGACCTCCGGAACAAATTAAGTACTTAACCCGAGGTACCACTGTAGTTGTTTTTCTGTTTGACATCTGATGGGAGGGTGTTCCATAGGGCAGGTGCCACCACCGAAAAGTCCCTCTGTCTGGTCCCTGTGACCTCACTTCTCGCAATGAGAGAACTGTCAGGAGGCCTTGGAGCTGGACCTTCCTGTCCAGGCTGAATGATGGGGGTGGAGACGCTCCTTCAGGGCAGTTCAGGACATCTGTAGCAGACTGTATATGGCAACTGCGAACACTATTTGCAATAGGCTGTGCCATTTTTTACAGTGAAGGTTGCTCCATGAGTGGAAACGGGGCACTACCGCACCAATCTCAGTCCACCCTCTCCCAGCCGGAACCAGCCTGCCTTACAACCAGGACTTACAACGAGACCTAGAGGTCGCAATGCCTATCAGTTTCCATCTCACTGTTGCCCCTTGCTCAGCAGGGAGGAAGATGAGGTTGGGCACAAAACTAGAATTATTTGGCTGGCTGGCTGTCATTGCCTTTGGTGCTATTGTTGACCTCCCTGCCTTCCACCCTTCCACCCACCAGCCACTGCTGCTGTCTTACAATGCCTCTTGAAGTGTTGTGATGTTTAGAAGCTAGTTCATCTTGATTTTTGGCAACTGAAAGCATTGCTTGAGCATCAAGCAATTAATTAATTAATTAATTAAATCTCATCAATTAATTGGTTAAAATGGGCTGGGCAATAGCTTTTCTATGCCTCTGATTCTGAGACAGGATAGGAGGAGCCAGGATTGCATGCTGCAGAGTAAGTAGCATGCTCTAAGCTGGAGCAGGAGAGAACCAGAAGACAGATGGAACAGAAAATGACTTTAAGGTCTGATAATGAAACAGCATGACTGTGAAGAGGTTAGCTTGACATTTGCAGCCCACTCTTTCCTTCTGCTCGAGTAAATAAAGAGTTGTGCTGTCTATGATGCTATGTTTGTCTTGTTTTCAATTCGGGGGGGGGGGGCCAGACATAATGGTTTCTGCAAAAGGAAATCCTGACCCACTGTCTTTCAAAACCATCAGCAAGGATGTAGACAAAGATAATCTAATGGATATTATGCATGGACTTCCAAAGAATGTTTGACCATTAGTTCCTCTCTAATCTTAATAGTTGCAGGAGAATACACCAGCGCTCCATGGAGATTAGCAACTGGTTAAACAACAGGGGACAAGTAAACACGATTCTCATAATGGAGGGAAGTAAGCAGTGAGCCCCCCCCCCCCATGAATAATCTGGAGGTAATGCCTGCAAATGAGACCAAATTATTTAGGATGGCAAAAACCCAGATGGACTGCAGCCTGCTTGGAGTTTATTTTCCCCAGTGTCCTTAATAATGTAGCATCATCCACAAACACGGACTCATCACTGCTGAAAAATTGTGGAAATGGGCAACGAAATGGCACCTGAGATTATTTTGGTCTGTCTGGCCACTGTTGTAGTCAGAAAAGCTGTACTTGATGGATGCGTGGGCTGATATAGCTGGGAGCTTACCAAGCACTCCTATATTTTGCATGCAAAAGGACTTGGGTTCAGTCCCTGGTACCTCAAGTTAAAGGGTTATCTGGCAGCAGGCTAAGGAAAGACCTTGGAGAACCGTGGTTACGAAAGGGGATTAGAGCAATTTGTGGAGGATTAT